CAGCTTTTCAAACTTATACTGCAGTTATCTATTGCAACAACTATTTTTTTTTCTCAACCGATCGCAAGAAATTTGACTGTCAGAATCTTGTTTCTGCTGTTAATCTAAGGCACTTTCAAATTATTTGTCCTTCGCGAAGAAACAAGAGAAATGTAACTGCTGTTTTTAGGTATCCCAAAATTTTCTTTCAGAAGATTTGCTGCCCCATGAAAACAGAGCCAGTACATCCGCAGATCATGAAGAGCGATTAAAATCCTCAAAGCTAGTCGAAGAACTGTGAGAATTTACCGGAAAGCAGGCGGCTTTCCCCAGGCCAGGGAAGATGAAGGAATAAACATTTCTCCCGTGGCTTCCCCAGGGCAGAGGCAGACGGGTGTCCTTGCAGCAGCGCTGCCCCTTATCAGGAGCATTCCAACCTGCCCTGTTTGTCATAGAAACCGGCCGGAGCGGGAATGGGAGCGCTCGCAGCCAATGGAGTGATTCAGTGGTGATGGGGAAAGGCAGGTGGAGCAGGTAAGTCACCTCCAGACAGGAAGGTATAAAAGATACTTGAATTACAGCGGCAGGGCCACTCGTATGCAGGGAGCTGTTAGAGGTTACTTGTTTTGCCAGCCCTACCGTGCTTGGAAACAACTCGGGAACCTACCGGGGAGCTGGAATACCAGGAGGCGGCTTATAAATACAAAAGAGCCTGAGCCTAAGACTATCCTCTGGAGAGAAGACTCTTCAGGGGTAGAAACCAAGAACCCAGAACATGCTTTTCTCCTTCTAAACAGCACTCTGAACAGGTATTTATAGACTTTAATCTGCCGTACGCCTCTTAACTTGCTGTGTATTCAGTCGCTCGGAGTTAAAGATACCATTAGGGAATCATATTACAGACCAGTGCCGGCCACTATCTTAACTGTGTGTTCTCTTTTGTCTGGTTTTACGGTGTGGAAAGAAGCTTTCTAGAACTTGTTGGGAAGTATAAAGTACGTAACGACTTCGGTTTAAATCTGAGTTTATGTGTCTCTCCTGAATGGTTCAGTTATTTACTGATGTTCCCAAAGTTTCTGGAAAGGCCAGGTAAATAGCTGGGAAAGTGAGGTAAATAGCTGCAGGGTCTGAGGAAATGCAGTGTGACTGTGGAGGTCTGAACAATTGAAGATATTGTCTGGTATTAAAAAAAAAATAATAAATCATGCGATTGTGTAGTGGGGAAAAAAAAAAAGCCAACAAAATACCAAACAAAACCTCCAAACACTAATTCTGCTGAGATTCCACACTGTATGTCTTCGCTGGGGCTCTCCAGCTTTGGGGACTGGCTGTCATTTAGTAGTACAGCAGTAGTGTCCAGGAGAAAACCCAATTTAACTTTCTGAGCATCAGCTCTATGGCAACACCCTGAAAGATGCAAGAAGCAGGCAGAGGCTGACCTGTCCGGTGGGGCAGAGTGTGAATTAAAACTGCCTTTCCCATGCCTCAGCTCTGTGCCTTACTCTTTGTTTCTTCCCAGTTTAAGTCAACTACCTGCATCATGTCTGATCAAAGCGCCACGTAACACCAAGATGTTGGTAAAAATAAGCAGACTTTAAATTTACTAAAACTAACAAGCGGCTGTAGTGTCATGATCATGTTTAGCAAAGGGAAAATGTGGGCAAAAGCTTGTGTCTTCATTTGAAAGCAACTCTTGTGAGTAAACTTCCTCAAGTTTACTATCAAGATACTGCTGTTGCTCTCGCTGTCAGATGACATACCAGTAAAAACCCCAACAGAACAGCTTTGACACATAGGTGATGAAATTACAGTTTGCGTAAGCAAAGGCTCTCTCTTTCTGAGGTTACCCTCTGCCACTGGTTTTGCTGCGCGTAATTGCTGACAAACACTCCAAACTGAGGGACTGGAAAGACCTGAGCACAGGGGATGGAGTTCTGCAAAACAGAAGATTTAGTAAAAAAAACCCAAACCAACGATGGTTTTCCCCGTCTCCGGGCCAACTTGGGCTGGGATTTGTAATTCATCAGCATCTGTCAGATTGTGCTAAAACATGCATGGCGCTCTGCAGCCAGGAAAGAAATCCATTAAAAAAACATTGCAACTTGCTGAAAAGTGCAGATAGTCTGTGACTGAAAATTTAACTTGAGGAGGGGCTTCACAAAAATTCCTTCATTTAGAATAAGAGAAGAAAAAGAAGGAAGGTTCTCTGCAGTGGGTCTCAGCTGTGGCAATGCTAGCTGCGATGGGAGAGAATACTGCATTCTTAAATAATGGAGAATTTTTGTGCAATGTGAGGAATATGTGGTCTTTCTGACACCTTAAATTAGCTTTTATGCCGAGACGTGGAGTCTCCAGCCCGTGCTGGTGAGCCACTGCTGGATCGACTGGAGACCTATAATTACGGCAGCAATCTGAACATTTCTGGCTTGTCATGGGTAAATCTCCCAACACAAAGAATCAAGCCAAGCTAGTTCGGTGACACAGCCTCAAAAAATGTTCCCCAGGCATACAGCATCAGGGCCCTGTCGTCGCTGGGAATTTCCTCCAGCTAAACACTTGCGTTCAGGTAAAAGTCCTCAATAGCTGAAAAATCATATATCTGAATATCGGAATGTATGAGAAGCTGCGTCTGTCCTGGGATAACTGGAATTCCAGGGAATGCTTTGGTTGCTGAAAAGGCTGGAGTAAGTTGTAAACCAGTTTGCTCGAACTGGTGTATTAGCAACTCAGGAGCTCAAGGCTCCTGCTTGCACGCCCCAACAAAGCAGAGGGCACACAGCAAGGCTTGGGCCGTGCTGGCACTCCTCCAGGGCCGCGGACAGGGAAGAACTGTGTTTCCCCAGGGAAAGCAGAGCAACAAGGAAACAGCGGAGAATTCCCCTTGCTCTGGCACCAAGGCCATTTCCTCCAATGTTGCTTTTCTTGCTGTGTCACGGTGACAAGACGGAGATGCTTCTTGTGCTGCTTGGGGTCCGGGATGGAACTTTGCGAGACAACAGTGTTTCCTCACCTCCCTTGGCGTTGCCTGTGACATGAGGGAGCTCAGATCCCGGTGTGGACAGCCAAAACCAGGCAGCATCGCTTGGTGGTGTCTCACTCACCTTCTGGGCAGCATGCAGAACCATGATTTGAGGCTCTGTCTGAGCACACCGAAGACAAGAGCTTCACCCCCTCTTGCTGCCTCCACAACTGAATAGTGTTATCTGTCTCTTAGGCCTTGCCCATGCTGCCACCATAATATCTGAGTGCCTCCCAGACTAATAGACTGCCATAGCGAGGTCCCTACTTGACCTCATGGAGTCTTCTGCTCTCCTCCCTGCTCAGGTGTCGGGGAGCACCAGCCGGGGTAGGTTTACGTTGTGTTTCTTCTGCCCAGAGGGAGGCATGTACGGGGAAAGACTGCACCCATCTGTAATGCCATGGTGGTTCTGGTGAAAAGGCTTTGGCTGGATGGTGGACCTCTGCTGGTTGCTTGCTTCTTTGCAGGATGTTTAACTTCACCTTGGGTGCGCATCTTCGATCAGGCTACCTGTGTCATTCTCACCTCTAGCAGGGATCTGTTCCAGGCTCAGGATGCAGTGGAAGTCATGAACTTGCTCTTTGTTCCTTTTAAGGGTTAAACATAGGTCTGGTGATGGGTGTTTTCACATTGTCTAAAATGAAGGCTGTGGTTTTCTTCTCTTCTAGAGTCTCCCAGGGCTCTATTTATCTCCTCGGGCTCCGTCATGTCGTGCTTCACGCAGCTGTGGCACTCCAACACGCCAGATTCTCCCACCAGCCCGGTCCCTGCATCTCCGAGTGAAATCCCCATCCCCATCAGCCCCATTGTCGTCACCTCCCCGGGAGATGGCAAGAGGAAGGCAAGGTCCCCAACTGACAAGCCAGGCTCTCCGAACCCGACGTCTCCGAAGCCAGCCTCCCCTATTGAGTGTTCCATTTGCTTCAACACCTATGACAACACCTTCAAGACGCCCAAGCTGCTCCAGTGCTCCCATGTTTTCTGCCTGGAGTGTGTGGCCCGCCTGAGCAAAGGGCTGCCCCCAAACCAACCAGAGGACCAGCTCCCCTGCCCCTTCTGCAGGCAGCTGACCAGTATCCCTCTGGAAGGTGCCCCAGCACTCCAGACCAGCAAGGAGCTCCTTGCCACGCTGCCTCCTGAACTCCAGCAGGAGAAGGTGCTCTGGATGGAAGGGACCAAGCTCTGCTGCCGCCAGTCATCGGATGACCCTGAGAATCCAGACTCATGTATCTCCATCGACGTTGCCATGAGCAAGCCGGAAAGCCCGGAGGCCCCCCCGACGGGGTTAGCTGGGAGGCTGTCCCGCTGCGACATGTGCGATGACTGGAAACGCATAGTCCTCCTCTCCGCGTTGATCATCATCCTGTTCTGCATCATTCTGTGGCCAGTCCAGTGTGCCCTGAAGACGGGGAACCTCCGCTGCTTCACGAGGACTGTTGCCATGAGCAGGCCGGAGTATCTTCCCCCTAAACACACCACAGCAGCAGCCCCTGTGACACAACTCCCTTTCCAGTAGAAGCAAGGTGGCCGCCCCCGGCTCTGGTCCAGCGAGGCTGTCGGCTCCCTCCCCACGGCACGTCGGGGAGGCAGGAGCGGGGCTGCTGCCCTGATGGCATTCCTTGGGTTGCTGGAAGACCCCGCGGTCTTTCCGTACCTGTCCTTCCAACACCCGCATCCACCTCCAGGAGCTCTGCTGAAATATTTGCCTGCCAAGCTGTCTCCAGCCCAGGAATGCTCCAAGGAGCTGCCTCAGCATCCCGCTGCCAAACTCTCCATGGAAACCAGAGCTTTGAAAGCAACAAGACGGGTTTTTAGGACTGTTTGCCTCGAGTGGCATGCGGCCGTGTGCCGCCTTGGCTGGATCCCAGGTGACAGTGGGTGCAGTTCCTCTAACTCCCATAGGGAATAAAGGGCTATTTTTGTAAATTGAAGGATCTACATGATTATTCCTAAGAGGAGCTGGGATTGGGAGGGTAAAGACATGTCAAAGTCTTATAAACAGATGAAAATTATCCTTATTCCACATTCTGGAAACATTTCTGTGGTGTTAGTCAATGTTGGAGGTGTAAATGCTGCCTCCTGCTGACAAAACATGGATCTACCACTGCTACCCACCTTCAGAGCTGTGTTACCATGCCCATGAGTTTTTGAACAGAACAGAGCAACCATTCTACTCGTTTTTTCCTAAGATAACGCTTAAAAAAAAATCACTCATCCCTACCTGGAAAGCGATTTTGAACCCAGGGGGTGAATTCTGTCAGGCACACGGACACGGCAAGGTAACCCTGACCCCCAAGGTACTTCATCAGCCACAGGCCAACTGTTGCCAAAACGACAGAAGTTCCATCTTCTGACAGCTTTACCCTCCTAATCTTAAAATGTGTCAGTATTAAGACACAGGCCAGTTGCTTACACTATATTTTTATTTAATGCAGTGATCTTCTGACAGTGATTAACAGAAGTCTTCGCGACGAAGGCGGCTTACAATTAAATGTTTTCTATTCAAACACATGGATGTAAGACAGTATTGTATGCAAGTACCATACGTGTATGTATTAAATTATGTTTTATACAATGCAAGGTGTCGATTTGTAGCAATTACTCCCCGTTTCCCTTCTCACTTGCAGTTGGAGGTGCTCCCTGAGCAGTCCCGAGTCCAGCTGCATCGCCGGATCGTGGTAGCTACACAGCAGGTAGCACATCTGTACTCTGCATCAGCTGTCCCAGCGTTGTACAGTCCTGCACACGTGGACAGCTTTATCCTGTAAATTCACACTTGCTACCTTCCACTACTTAATTACTCCCAGGCGCGACTTCCCTCTGTGTTTACCTGATTTCACCCGAAAAACGAGAAGCTGCAAAGACTTTTGCTTCTTCCCGCCTGGATGAAAGACACTTCCCGCCTCGCTTTCCAGAAATTCGAATTTGAAATAGAAAAGGCCGAAGCAACGGCAGAAGTAACTCAAGTCTGTTGCTATGCAGAACTTGTGTGGAAAGCCGCTGCGGGTGCTGTATCTGCACCAGCTTTGCTGGTGAGCTGCAGGCGGTGTTATCTGCGCCAGCCACATGTCTGCAGGAGCTACTCCGGGCACGGTGACAGCTTCTGCCAAAGTCATTGGGCTTGACAGGGATTCTCACTTGTATCCTCCTGTCCGTTCCCCGGCGCTTGCCACAGCAAGGATATCCTCGCAGCGCCAATTTTAAGGGTGTTCTTGGAAAAAGTGACTCACCAAGACTTAAGGCAGAGAGAAGGCACTTCCATTTTACCCAAAGTGTGTTTGGGACTAAGCCCAGCAAATAGACACTAGTAGAGATGAAGTGCTTTGCCATTACATGTTTGTCACCATTCAAGTCCTGCTGATGAGACCTAAGGGCAGGGGGGAGGGAAATAACATCTCCAGCTTCGTTAAAAAAAGAAAATAAATCTATTGTTATGGTGGCAAACGGGCCACAGAGATGTTCTCAAAGTTCCAAGCGTCCCTCAGTAGTCTGTCACGGCATCCTTGTCGGGAGTGTCCCTCTGCATTTCCCCTTCTCACCACGTCCTTGGAAACGAAGGTTGAAGGTTCAGCTAACACACAGCTGAACCTCTCCCTCGGGCGTTGCCAAAGGGAGGACTCAAAGCCAGTGAAAAGGGGGCCCTGAACAGCAGCGTTTGGCAGTGGGGGACATTTGGGCTGCCCCACTGTCCACGCCACCCGTCAGCCACTTTTCCCAAAATCAAACTACTTAAAAAGAAAGGGACGGGGGGTGGGGGAAGGGGAGCCTTGAGAATATTCAACATTTATTAAAAGTGCAATAAAAATAAACAGTTCTCCTGTCCCTCTGACAAGGGACCAGAAAGACCAGCCAGGAAATACAGCCAAGGTACGTCCATCGTGCTTTTGTTCAACCCCTTCTGCTCCACGCCTGGAGGCAGCACCCCAGGCACCAACACCCCGACCACGCAGCAAGTCCATCCAGACCCAGGAGGACCTCAGCGTCAGCCCCGTGCATGTTCTGGAGGTTCAGGCACTGGGCACAAGGCTCCCCGCAGGGCGCACTTTCGGAGGCTGATGAATCCTGCGGGAAGGGGTTCTTTGGCAGGAACAGCAGGAAGCACCGGCAGTCACAAGTCAAGACTCATCAACAGAGCTGGAACGCTCCACGCAGTGACACACTCATCTTCGTGGCACTGGTCAAGTCACAAACACTCCTACAACACCCCTACTCAGCAGACGCAAGGCTTGCCTCGTCATATAGTGGCAGGGGGAAATAAAAAATTTAAAAAAAAAGTCACGCAGCAAGGTAACGGCAGAGCTGCATCAACCTTGGAGGGGCCCAGCTCAAAAAGTTCAGCTCAGATGAGCACCCTCGGCTGTTACTCTCCAGGGGTGGCTGAAAGCTGCTTTCCTACTCTTCGGCACCCATCGGCTAGGTGGGGGTTCACTCAACAACTCAAACCCCCGCGGTCAAAGCTGGAGGTGCTCACCTCTGTCTCTCCATTCTGCTCTGGAACCCACGTGCAGAGCAGCTAGAGGACTCCCAGGGACACACACGCACACACATCTGCTGTCCTACAGCAGCAGGGACTGCCGACTGCGCTCCGGCGGGGTTGCATAGAAATCCAGAACTGGTACAGCCAAAAGGAAGGTGGGAGAAGAAGAATCAAGAGAGCTGCAAACACTCGGGTCCAGGCAGCGCGCTCTACTTCTCATCCTCACAGGCAGCGAAGTTATTCCAGGATTTAGACTAAAAACACTTCTAGCTTAGAAATGATTGACCCAATGAAAACATTAAAGTGTACTAACGTTTTACTAATAATGCCCTAAGCGGGCAACCCTGGGAAAGCTCCTAAGCAAATAGTCATTTCCATTCCTTTTAACAGTTTGCGTGTAAAAAATAAGAATCTTAAATTAAAAAAAAAAAATTAAAACTAAGCCTTGATGCCCTAACGAATGTCCAGAGGCACTTCCACATAAATATCAACCTGCTGATCCAGGGGAAAATGGGAGAAGATCCTTCTCCTGAATGAGTTAGGTCGAGGCATGTTGTTAAGCGCGGGCTCTGCTTGCTCCTTACAGCCACCTTCTTTCTTCCTCGCCGAGTCCAAGGTGCTGGGGGGATGGCAGGACGGGCAAAAAAACCAAATTGTCCGCAATTGCAGAACTTGGAAAGGGTGGACGTAAACGCTGTAAATCCTGCGTTGCAAAACAAGAAGGAAGAAGGGTGGGCATGGTTTATAACTGGGAGAAAAGTGCATTGATAAGGTCAGAGAGCCGAGACACTCCCCGCGCGTGAAGTTGTCTGCACACACAGCACAGTCTGGTCCTCCGAGTCCTGACATAACACTCCGAAAAGCAGATCTGCCCCCCTCGCCGGTGACGTTGTAAACGTGTTTCCCTGTCGAGATCCCACCACCCCAACATCCCCCCTCTTCTCCCAGCAGCAGCGGGCCACAGCCGCATCTTTAGGCTCTGTCAAGCGTCACCCAAGCGCAGCTGCCTCCCCCGACGCCGGCAGAGCCCCAGAGATGGGCAGGAGCTGAGGTTGAAGAGCAGCTGAGTCAAACGCCGTGTAAACAGGCTGTGGTGACACTCTCAGTCAATCAGGGGAAGCATTCCTACCTGTACAGCCTCCACACAGCTCACCTCCGGCTCCTTTATCGCCCTGTATTACTCATCCCTGAAACCTTTGGGCTTTTGATGTTAAGGTTCTCATAGACGGAAGCTGACTCATCATCAACCCTGTCAAGAAACAAAGCCTTGTTATTAACAACCTCGCGGCTCCGGATCTTTTCCCAGAGGCAGGTGGCCAGTGGGAAGCGGGTAATGGCCCAGCCAAGCTCCCTTTTTGCCTCCTCAGCCTTGTAGAAAGGACGACATGGGGTGAGCCGCTGTTCTCGGTCCCTGCTTTCTCTCCCTCTGGCTGGGCCACCCCTCCGAGGTCCCAACCCAGCTTGGGGATGGAGCCTTGAACCCTCCTCCCCGTGTCAGCCTTTCACGGAACCAAAGTTTCTGCAGGATCAGTGGACACAGTTCCTCATATCTCCTACTCTTATTTTCTCTACATAACCAATTTCTCTGGATTTTCCAAAATCTGATGGAAGGAGAGGGCTGCTCCAAAGGCCGGATCCAAGTACCTCTACAGCAGCTTTGACACCCAAAGCTGAACTCAGGGGAACTCTCTGGAGCCAAGAGCGCCACGCAGAGCTCGCCTTGCTCGGCTCGGTCCCACATGTTCCTCCCCGCCCTCATCTACTCAGAGCTGCACTTTCAAAGTTGGGCATTTCAAACAGGACACCAACGTTTCTAGAGTCCAGCGGGGAAGATCCCAACGCGTGACATCTCCTTTTGCCCTCTTCTCTTCAGCTGGATTTTCCGTTCTGCACGAGCCCAGCAACACCATTTCTGCCTCCACTTTTACACCCGCTCCTCCGCTCCTGCCCGGCCACCTCTTCTCCCAAAACCCACCCTGCAATCCAAGGTGTCCAAAAGCTTTGGTTTTATATAACTGAGAGACATCCCCACCCACTCACCTTCAACTTATCGCCCCCTCTCCATCACTCACTGCTATCCCATTGCTTGGGGCAAGAGGGAAAAACATAATTTGGGGTATTTTATCTCTGCTTATGTAAGGAACTCATGCTACTTAGCGCTTGCTCCCTCTCCACGTGGGTGCAAATCCACCTCCCTCTGCTCCCTTCTCGTTTGACTTCAGAGTTTGCTGTAAAAGCCCTTCATGGGCAGTAGCAGTTTCACCCTCTAGCCGATTCTGCAGAGCCGAGGACACAGGACACTACTCGCTAGAGGCGAGGATCTATTTCCTCCTCTCCTTTCCGAAAGCGTAGCGCACAAGCGAGGTGTGCTGCTACCACCACTGCGGGAGGTGCGGTGGGATCACCCGACCGTCTTTAGCCATTCCCATACGACAGCCAGCGACCGGTCAGGTCTCGGGTATGGGTGAGGCAGGCTGGGAACGGATAAATACTGGGGCCGATGCTCGAGCTGTTCTCTCTCCCACCGCAGAAGTTCTCAGCCCTGGCAGAGGGACATTCAGCTTACACAGACTGACTCCGCGGCGAAGGGGGCTGCCCTTTGGCTCTGCCTTTTTCCAGAGGAGAGTAGCCGATATTCAAGTAGTCTCGCTCTTTTCTTTTATTCCTCTGAAAGAGAAAGCGAAGACAATAAAAAAAAAATCCCACCCAGAGCAGATACAGAAGAAAGCCTTACGAGATGCCGTGTGCCCGCAGGGTGTGGGTTTATTTCCACGCGTCGAGGGCAGTGTTTGAGTTGCGGAGAGGAGGTGGGAGCGGAAGCGGTGTCGGGTGAGGCGAGTTCTGCCCTTGCTTTTCCAACCGAGCCGAACGGGACTCACCTGCTCTTCTTCCAACCTCTTCTGCTCGGCCTCGATGTACTGCTGCACAGCCATGTAAACAAACTTGTACTGGGCCTCTGTCTGCACCATGCCCGAACGCTGCCTGCGTACCATCTGGATGGTTTTGGGGATGTCGATATCGCAGTCCAAACCTGCTCAAGAGCCAGAAGGTGAAGGTTAGGGAGGGGGATTTAGGTTGAAAAATTATTTTCTTAAGACAACCTTGAAAGCTGTCAATACCTCGCTGCACAGGGTGTCAGCGAAGCCCTGGAATACTGTGAAAGGATTTGGTGCATCTCTGCCCAGGAGATTTGTATTATTATTTTTTTTCCTTTTTTATCCCTGCCAGAGCTCCTTGGACTGAGAGCGGCTGAGGCAGGGCCGACGGGCTTGGAGCAAGGGGAGGGGAATTAGGTCTGTTCTATGGCAACTCCCTACAGATCCAGACTTACCACCTTTGCGTGGCTTATGAGATAGATACAGCCATTGCTGAAGAAGGTCCACCTGCCTCAAGGCTCCTGGACCAGACCCGGAGATGCCATGGAGAGATCCACGACAGGTCTAGAATTTCACATAGGTGTGACAGCCCTTCTACACAGAAGAGTTTGGGAGACTTATTTCTAAAAGGGCTACTGGAGTTACAGCCTTCCTCAACCTCTTTCCCCCCACCCCACCCTCAATAAAAGAGGGTTGTCACAGCATCCCAGACTGGTGGGGGCTGGAAGGGCCCTCTGGAGCTCCCCCGTCCCACCCCCGGCCAGAGCAGGGGCACCTCCAGCAGTGGCACAGGACAGCGTCCAGGCGGGTTTGGGATGGCTCCAGAGGGGGAGACTCCCCCACCTCTCTGGGCAGCCTGTGCCACTGCTCTGCCGCCCTCACAGCAGAGAAGGCCCTCCTCAGGTGGAGATGGAACTGCCTGTGGTCACGTTTGTGCCCGTTCCCTCTTGTCCTGTCACTGGGCACCACTGGAAACAGACTGTTCCCATCCCCCTGGCACCTCCCTTGAAGGATTTATCAGCATTGATAAGATCCCCCCTCAGTCTTCTTTTCTCCAGACTGCAAAGCCCCAAGTCCCTCAGCCTTTCCTCACAAGAAAGACGCTCCAGTCCCCTCATCATCTTTGTTGCCCTTTGCTGGACCCTCTCCAGCAGTCCAGGAGACCTTGAAATCCTGTCCCCATTGATGCCAAGGAGAATACTCTCCTGTGCTGTGTTGCTGAAAGCATCTCCCTTACCAGAGGGCTGCCCATGTGCACACCTATTTGGAGAGGGCTCACATTTCGTTATGCGGAAGCTCCATTTCTTGGCCCACAGAGAAATGGGGAACGGGGCACTCTACAAAAGCCCTTCTCGCCCCGCATTCAGGCAAAGTCCACTGTTTCCCGGATAAGTCAATCCCACTGCTTGGAGATCACGTACCCACTGCTTGCACAAGAGCAGGGTTATCCCACAACTGGCCAGAGCAAGGCAAGCGGTGAAAGCCACGAGAGAGACAGGGAGACATACCTTGCCTGTGAATAATATCCACCAGGATATCTATCACGATGATGGTGCCTGTGCGTCCTATTCCAGCACTGGAAAGAGAAAAGGAAAAAAATAACAATCATCGCAGGAAGAAACGTTGCCGTGGGTGAGTCAGCTCAGCGCCAACGCTCATCCGCACGCCTGCTCCGTCCTGGGCAGATTTGGCACGGCTGCTGTAAGATAAGCCCGGCCAAACGCCGACCCGTAGGAGATGAGATGAGATGAGCACCAGAGCTACCAACCCCAGAACAGATCTGCTCTTCCCTGCGCTGTCACCAGCGCGGCTCCGGAGGAGGGGCTGTGTTTCCCCACCTGTATACTCATATCCCCAGTGCCCACCATCAGCTCCCGTGATGCCCCAGCTGCATGTGCAAATGAAAAAGACGTATTTTGACTACCCATCCCCACTGCAGCGCCCCGCCGAGGGCCCGCCGGTTCGTACCTGCAGTGCACTATGATCGGCCCCGTGTCCGGAATGCTTCGCTGTGCCCGGTTCACTTGGTCCAGAAAGCTGAGGACCCCTCCTGGCTCATTGGGCACCCCGTGGTCCGGCCAGCTAAAATACTGATAGTGCTTCACCAGCCTCGGGCGCTCGTCCTGCGGGGAGCAGAGACCCACCGCCTGGTCAGAAACTCCTACTAGGAGGCTTCTCCTTCCTTTCTTTTTATCCAAGCAGGGTCCAAGTGGCCCAGAACTTAAGCAGTGGGACCATTAAGTTTAATTAAAAAAAAAAAAAAAACCAACCCCAAACCAAACAGAAAAGCCACAGCTCCCTCCCGGGGCCGTTCCGTTCCCAGGACGGTGGGCAGACAGCAGCGGAGGACTCACCCTGTCAGTCCGCAGGATCTCCAGCTCCCGAAGGTAGTAGCCCTGGGCCTCACGCTCGCTCACGTTTCGCACGCAGATGCACCCGTATTCCTTGGTGCAACCCTTGTCTGGCCAGTAACGGAAACATTTGTTCTGCAGCGACATCAGAGAGCTGCTCGTTAGCCGAGACGGGGAGCTGGAGGCTGCTGACCCCCCTGCTCAGGGATGCTGCCGCCTTCGACGGGTGCGCAGCCCCGGTGTAGAGGTTTAAAGGAGAGCCATACACACAGAGAGCATTTCCTCTGAACTGGGGATGTCCCAGGAAGGGCCATTCCTACGTGATCCCAAGGGGAACCGTCCCCCTCAGCTAGCCCCAGCCTCAGGTGGGCACTGCTTTGCCAAGGACACAGAATCACAGAATCACAGAATGGTCAGGGTTGGAAGGGACCTCTGGAGATCATCTAGTCCAACCCCCCCACCAGAGCAGGGTCACCTACAGCACGTTGCACAGGACAGCGTCCAGGCGGGTTTTGAATGTCTCCAGAGTGGGAGACTCCACCACCTCTCTGGGCAGCCTGTTCCAGTGCTCCACTACCCTCAAAGTAAAGAAGTTCCTTCTCATGTTAAGATGGAACTTCCTATGTTCAAGTTTATGCCCATTACCCCTCGTCCTATCACTGGGCGCCACTGAAAAAAGACTACTCCCATCCCCCTGGCACCCTCCCGTTAAGTATTTGTAAGTATTAATAAGATCCCCCCTCAATCTTCTTTTCTCTAGACTAAAGAGACCCAAGTCCCTAAGCCTTTCTCCATAGGAGAGATGTTCCAATCCCCTAATCATCTTTGTTGCCCTTTGCTGGACCCTCTCCAGCAGTTCCCTGTCCTTCTTGAACTGGGGAGCCCAGAACTGGATGCAGTACTCCAGATGCGGTCTCACCAGGGCAGAGTAGAGGGGGAGGATGACCTCCCTCGACCTGCTGGCCACACTCTTCTTGATGCCCCTCAGGATGCCATTCGCCTTCTTGGCCGCCAGGGCACATTGCTGGCTCATGGTCATCCTGTTGTCCCCCAGGACTCCCAGGTCCGTCTCCACAGAGCTGCTCTCCAGCAGGTCAGCCCCCAACCTGTACTGGTGCATGGGGTTATTCCTCCCCAGATGCAGCACCCTACACTTACCCTTGTTGACACGCAGTACCTGAGCTCTCGGTCTGGTCATTGCCTGACTCCCGAGCCAAATCTCCATCCCAAGGGGCTCCATGGTCTGCCTCCACCCCTCCCGTCCTCCAGCCCATCCCCTCTTTGCTAGAATGACTCTGCCAACACAAAAGGCAGCGTGCAAGCGGAGCGACCTCCATCTCCTCTCTGCCCTCGGCTGCCGCAAGCACAGCCTCCCCCCTCGTCCCTCGGCAAAACCGCTGGTGCCGAGCAGAATCAGCTCCTCTCTTTAGGAGGGAAGGCTGTGCTGGTAAATGGCTCTGCACAGAATTTCACTGGATTCCTTGGGCCCTACCAACCCACTCTTAGCGAAACGCGTACAGGTGGTGCACAGACAGGTCATGTAATGACTTTTGTCCCTCACAGAGCTTCCAACACCCCCCCACACACACTTTCCAGCTTGCTGTAAGGAGCACGATGCTTTCTCTCTCTCTCTCCACCACCTGCAAACCCCCAGAGCCTTGGCGCAAGTCATAGGAGGGACACTCCCTTAATATTTATGGGGCTGCGCAAAGCGGTACGTTTCTTTCATGAAGAAGAACTAAAGCAACGTTACAAGACAGAGGAGAAATGACACGAAAGCCGTCCTGAGACAACGTCACTAAACACTATTAGTACTCGCAGCAGGCGACTTTCAGGCTCGGGGACAGCACCCTACAAGTGCTCACCCTGCCCCGCTCCACCTCCTTGGTTGTCATGACTATGACGTGACTGTTCTCTTGGTACACCATGGCCCAGAAGTCGTTCACTGTTGTCTGCAGGCAGCCCTGGGTGGCTATGTAGACCTTGCAGTGCTCCGAGTTCCTTCCGTCTTCAGGGATGCTCTGAGGAGCAAAAGAGAGAGGGGAGAAAAAAAAAAAAAAAGCCAACGATGGTGGAGTGAGGAACTGGGAGTTGCTTTAGCGCACCTTTAGCGGCAAAGTCAGCAGAACTTGCCATGCAGAATTTCCAAGCGAGCTGACTTTCCTCTACCCATCAGACCTACAGACATGAACCACTCTCATCACCACCTTCAACAGAGCTGCCAGCAAAACGGGCTGCCTGCCTCCGGGGACTTTTACGCTGCCGTAACGCGCGCTAGGGCGCACAAGAGTCTTGCCAGCAGGCAGCTGCTGAGGTTGCAGGTGGATGTGGCTGGAATGAAGCCACCTTGAAGGTTTCCCAAAGGCTGGTGCTTAAGTGCCAGAGCAGCGTTGCTGGAAATACATCTCCGAGTAGCTCTTAGCTTACAGATGGCAATTATAATTTGACCTCAGAGATAATGTTGAATGACAGAGAGTGTGGGTCAGCCCCCTAGGACCTCCTGAACAGGTAAGGAAAGGAGGGGACTGAGAGAAACTCTTAGACAGGGGCAAATAGGACATGGTAGAATGATGAGATCCCTTGGGATACAGTAGAAAAATCCAGCGTTTGGCCTGGACCCAGTGAAAGATACTGGTCCTGACAGGGCATTCCCTCAAGACTTACACCATTACCGCACTTACCCACCAGAAACACAGCACTGGGCTGAAGACAGCCCCCACACGGTGCCTTCCCTTTCCCAAGTACCTTGATATAGTTGGCATTGATGTAGTCCGACCCAGGCACGCTCTCATCTACGTCTTGGAGTGCCACCCGCGTGGTATCAACTGAAGGAGAAGAGAGTCCAGAATGAACCCAGGAGCGCTCACGCAGGAGCACGGACGGGCTCTGCCGCAGGGCGGCCGCAGTGGCTCCCGGCATGGGCTCCCTCAAGGCTCCTACCATGAAATCACACAGGTAACTACTGCAAAAGAGGGCGTAAAATGCTCTCCTAAAGACACCCAGCAGTACTGCACGCTACTTGGCTCACAGCTGGGTTGCCAGTCTGGTAACTTGGATGGACATTAGTGACACGCGGTGTTGCAGAATAACCCGAGCTCAAGTTTTCCCCTATTTCCTTTGGAGGCTCACGCTCTGGCTCCATATGGCTTTTGAACTACGCTTGAGCTCTGAAGCATGTTTGGACGCACAGCACAAAGAGAGGAGAGCAATTTACCAGTTTCCCACGCAAAAGGGACGGACCAGGTTAGAAAAGGGGATGGAGAACGCCGTGAACTAACTGGACCGCTCCGCTAGGACAGCGTACGCCTCTTTCCAACTCCGCTGTGATCAGAAAGGGTTAACCAGTCCCAGAGAAGGCTGCAGAAACGATAGTGAAAAAACACCAAACCGGTATCCAGTGTCTCCTTACAGGGCAGGATGTTCTTGTAGCGATTCTTAGCCTTGTTCTCCGGTCGCTGTCCCTCCTTCCTGGGGTAGAGGAGCTTGCACTCTTGCTGCTGCAGCATCTGTGGGGCAGGGTAGGAAAGAACAAACTGTTCTGGGCAGCCAAGGGGAGCGAGAGGCAAAAGAAGGGCTCTTTCGACGAGCTGCTTGGCTTCCTAACGCTGAGAAGAGCAGAGGGAGTGCTGGCAGGAAGGCAAAGGGAGCCAAGAAGCAGCTTGATGAGAGAGTTAATGAGGGGAGAAGGCACAAATCCCTGCAGGGAACAAAAGGCACGCAGGTCTAGGATGAGGAAGGAGAAACTGCCTTGGATGTGAGGAAAAGCAATAAAAAAAAAGGACCAGGAAGTAACTCAGTTGAACACGGAAAACAGGGAAAGGAGAAACAGTGTTGAGAAGAAGTTCCCAGCGCTGGAAAACCACGACGCTTCCATGCAAGTATGGTATTCGCCCACAGGCACGAGGGGGACAGAGCACAGGAGCGTCCTCGTACCTCAAACTCTTCCCAGAACCCTTGCTTGGCCTTCTCACTGTGATCTGCCATTTTGTTCAGCTCCTTCACTCTGTTTTCGATGTTAGCCGCATTGATGCGCGTGGCATTGAATGGCTGAAAGACAGATGAAGACACAATAGAAATCACTTTCAACAACAGAAAGACAGATAACTTTCCCCTTGAAAAAAAAAAAAAAAAAACCAAACAGTTCTTGAATCCCTGGGGTATTGGCAGGAGCCGGGACCATGAACATGGGGCCAGGGACCTCCCTGGCAAGTGTGACCCTGGACAAGCACGAGAAGGAGCCAGCGGGATGTTCTGGGGGCAGGGAGTTCCCAAAGAGCATGGGCAGCTCTATGCACTCCCCAGGGAGTTTGGGCAAACCCAGAAGCAACAAATACGTGCCAGAGCAGCTATTACCTGCTTCAGATGAACCACAGCTCCAGATTTCTCCACCATGGGGTTTTTCTTATAGTGCTCCACCAGGTCCGTGAGCGTATCAAACCTCTCGCCTCCCCCGACGTCGTACTTCCCATCCGGCTGCAGGAGAGAACGACAAAGCCACAGCGCGACTCGAGCGCGCAGCTCCCAGCTGGGACACCCACCCACGGCGGGGTGAGCGGGGACAGCACCTTTCCCACCTGGTAGTGGATCATCACGTGGGTCACATGCAGTTTTCGGTCCCCAGTCTCCATCTTATCCTCATTTGTCAGCACCGACAGTACAAAGTCTCCCGGTTTGCTCTGGCTCTCTCGTACCAGAAAGCTGCCCGGTTTCCCCTTCTCCGTCAGAAGCTTCTCTGCCTCCTTGCCTGTGAGGTGCCCATGGTACCACCTGGGGAGCAGCAGTGGAGAGCAGGCTCAGCTCAGAAACGCACAGAGCATCGCCTTTAGACAAGAGCTACGCTCACTGCCGGGGACGGTGTCCATGGGAAACCCATTTCTAGGCTCCCAGTCCAACTGCTCTCCCCACTGGCGTGACACTGGCTTGAGTTATTTTAGTCCCCGGTGACTTTCCTCCAACGTTTTGCAATGTCACATCAATACCTTAGCCTGAGGCTGGAAGTGCCAGGACTTTGCTCAACCCTCCAGCCAAACGTGAAATGGCATCAGTACATTAAACTGCCACGTGATGTATGACAAGCACTGCCATCCAGGGACAGGGTTCTCACCAAGCTGTAAGAAACACATTTCTGGCCGTTCTTACTTGAAGGCGGCTACATTTTCCTTTATTTTTTAATACGGAAGAAAAAGAACGGCTGGAGTCAACAGGCTGTAGCCAGACAGTATCAGACACAGAGCGTGGACAGCACTGACCGGGAACAAGATGCTTTCACAGTTTGGGAAGGATTTTCAGGAGGGTCCTCCTGGCTGTAGTCACTGCTGCTCCCCTCCCAGGTCTCTAACCTCGGCTCAGGAAGAACACGCTCGCCCGGAGCAGCAAAACCAGATCTCCCCACCGTGCCCAGGAGGTTTCTCCCCCTCCATCCCTGCCCACAGCCACGTCTCCGGCCGGCGGCGACCACAACGCGCAGAGATTTGTGCTCGGCTCTTCCCAAACCTCGCTGTGTGGGCACCGAGTCGCTGCACCGCTCCGCCTGTGCACATCCTGCACGCACGCGCCCCTGTTTCTCCATCTAATCTCTCCTAATCCTTTCTCCCGGTCTGCTGACATACTTACACTGCAGCCCCAGTGAAATGCAGGCTCTCTTTGAGCCCGTAGCAGCCTTGCCACGATGCCTCGGGGTTAAGCACGCCATAATCCGCCCGTTCCTGGCCGTGCCCTCTGCTCCCCAAAGGGCGGCACGGCTGCGCTGGCTCCGTGCTCCGGCCAAGCAGCTCCGCAAAGCAGCACGTCCCCCCGTACCCGCACAGCGGCTACCCCGGGGCAGGCATGTCCCGCGGGCTAGCGCTCTGCTACAGCCCTCTGTAGATCCAAATAAGTTAGGAGTGAAGCAGAGTTGTTGGTTGGGTGTTTTTTTTTTTTGGGGGGGGGGGTGTTTTGTTTGGGTGTGGGGTTTTTTTTTTGGCCTGGGAGCCTTCAATCCCCACACTCCATCAACACTCAGCAGTGGCTCTGGGCAGATGCCACAGGTCCCACTTTGAAGACGTTGGCTCCCGGCCTGCCGGCCGAGCTGCCAGGAATTCAGAGAGGCTCAAAATAACCTCCCGGGGGCGACGCAATGGCATCACGTCACGTCTCAGCAACTTTCTCCCAGAGGATGAAGTTTACAGAAGAGCAGTCAGTGACGCTGGGCCTTTCGCGACCCGACTCAGCCGTTTCAAGCCCGGCTGGGAAGACCTCTGAAGAGCAAGACTCCTTCCCACGGGCTCGAGAAGGCACAGGGATGACGAGGCTGCACAAGCCGTACTGCTGCAGAGGGGAGAATGTCCCACCGCTGGTGAAGGACCTCGGCTCCCGCTTGCAGCACTGCTGCTATTCAGGCCCAGGTCTTGGAAACATTGCTACCCTGACGCATCCCTCTATTTTCTGACACCATCATCATCTCATATCTTTAGAGGACTTGGACCATTTTCCCCTCCCTTCCCCCTGATGCCACCAGATGTGCGGTCTGGAGCAGAAATCTTTATGGAGTGTCCTTGCCAAGCCAGACTTTCCTTGGCGGGAGAAGAGGGGGAAACCCAGCTGAAGGGGGTTTCCACTTTTCCAGAGCTTCTGCTAATGGGAGCGGCGGCCCGGCCGCTTTTCACCTTGCAATCTGGAAGGAGCAAAGAAACCACCCTGGCAACAAGGGACCACATGAGCTGGAGGGACTTCCCGGGGCCTCGGCCCAGCCGGCTCCGCTGACGGGGTGGAGGGGAGCGCCTCCGCACCATTTCAGGAACCGAGACCAGTCACAGCCTCCGCTTACCCCGGCTGCTAAAGTTAGAGTACTGAGGAGCCCGCTTTGGCATCGCCAGCCGCCTGACCAGGCGTTCCCCTTCCCAACCCACCATGGCAGCCGCTGCGTATGACACTGGGGAAACTGAGGGGGAGGAAAAGGAAAAAAGGGGTCACTGGAGCGTCACAGATAACAAGACCTTCACAAGAAGGTCACCCATCGGCTGGTGGAAGCATCCTGAAGTAGCCCAAGGCAAGGTGCTCCTCACAGCAAGCCAGCCAGCCTGGGACAGGCTGGGAGAGTTGGGGGGGTTCAGCCTGGAGAAGAGAAGGCTCTGGGGAGACCTCAGAGCCCCTTTCAGTGCCTAAAGGGGCTCCAGGAGAGCTGGGGAGGGACTCTGGATCAGGGAGGGGAGAGATATGACAAGGGGGAATGGTTTTAAACTGAAAGAGGGGAGATTTAGATGAGATATGAGGAAGAAATTCTTCCCTGTGCGGGTGGTGAGCCCCTGGGGCAGGTTGCCCCGAGAAGCTGTGGCTGCCCCATCCCTGGAGGTGTTCAAGGCCAGGTTGGACGGGGCTTGGAGCAACCTGGGCTGGTGGGAGGTGTCCCTGCCCAGGGCAGGGGGGTTGGAATTGGGTGATCTTTAAGGTCCCTTCCAACCCAAACCATTCTATGATTCTATGATCCCCATCCCTGCGAGACAACAGGGTGTTCCTACCAGGATGAACGGCGGTTACAGGCTGAGACGGGATGGGGACAGACTTTTTACAGGGCATTTCTACCCAGCGTTCTGCAGGCAGACACAAGTCACTTAAATGTCTTTTGTTTCTTTTAGAAGCAAAGCTGCGTGCCTCCTAGGATACACCTGCAGGACCCTTCACAGACGGACTCACACTGCTCATGTTCCCCGTTGCCTACAAGCCAGAAAAAGCTTATCAGCATAAGCAAGTGTCAGCTTCTGGGCCTTGCCAAAGTTATCTAGCCAGCTTCACGCAGAGCTGCTAAGGAACCATATCCGGCAGATGTGTGGCTTTGGGGTCAGGAAAGCTAAATCCCACCCAAACACACTCTGTTTTGGGCTCCTTTCCAAACCTGGGCCAGAGGCAGCCATAGAATCCCAGAATCTCCTAGACTGGAAAAGACCTGTAAGATCATCTAGTCCAATCGTTAACCTAACACTGACCAGCCCACCACTAAACCATGTCCCTGAGCACTATATCTACACAACCCTTAAATCCCTCCAGGGATGGGGAGGTAGGCTCTGAGCTCAGCTGGGAAGACAGCGTCACCGTCACCGGGAGAGTATGGAGAGCGTGGCTTACCTCTCCGAGGTGGGGTCCTGGCAGTTGAGCGGGTACTTCAGCTCGATGACATTGCTGTTCTTCTCCCGCAGCAGCCCCTGCTGCTCGGTGTAGTACTGCACCAGTTCCGCAAGGGTGGCAAACTTCTCGCCTCCGTACAGGTCATAGTAATCCCCCGTGTTCTGGATCTTAATGTGTGTCACCTCGTCGTTTCTTCTGAGGAAGGAAGGCAAACAAGACCGTAAGAGAGAACGGAAACCCAGCACTGGCCTTCAGGGTCCACCTGAACCTCTACTTCTTTAAGCTGCACCCCACGCTCTCCGGTCATCCACTCGTGGTGGCCACGCTTCGACAGCAGGGGAAGGGATGGATGCTCCTTGGCCACAGTTTCTCAGCCAAGAGCTGACTCTGCACCTCGCAAGCTCCCAGCCCGCTCTGCTTCCCGACAACCCAACAAGGAGGTGAATAATTCCTCCTCTGCCATCGCTTCCACCTCCTACGCTACACCTATCCTCTTGGCCGGATGAAGCTCTGACCTCACTCTGGGTTACAGTGAAGAGTTTTCCTTGCATAGGGATACTTGCTATCATCTAATTAGTTTTAAAAAAAACCCAAACAAACCAACAAAAAAACAGGAAAACAAAACACCCAAACCACCACATCACCTGGTATTTGCAGAGCCTATAAACTGTCCTGAAAGGGTTAATGCATTCCACTCTCCAGTGGTGCCCTCAAGGCTCAAGGGGAATAGGCTGGGTGCCTCCACCAGCCCCCTCAGGCCAGCAGAGCCCAGCCTCCTTCCTCAGAAGGCCACGCTCACCTCTGAGAGCAGGTTAATTGCATTTTAAATGCACTTAGCAGCAGCCCCCCCGAGCCAGGGAGACATGGCTGGAAGCCCGCTGGTTGATAGACGAGCTGGGTCAGAGAGAGATTCGTAAATCTGGGCAAATTTCTCCTTCTTTACCCGAGCTGAGCTGCTCCCAGCCTCTCTCAATTTGTTGCCAAAGCAACCGTGACGGGGATGCAGGAGAGGGAAGGTGGTATAAGCAGCGCACCAGGTCAGACAGAAATGCCGTTTCACGGAGTGGGGAATTAGAAAAGCTGCAGTGGTCTGTGCATGAGGTTAAACGGAAGGAAGAGCTGGACCATGGCAGGGGCTCTGGGGCTCTCAGTAGCGGTGCTGCCCCCGTTTCTGCTGTCTTTCGGCAGCAGGGTACAGCCCCTGTAGCAATGCAGTGAAAGACCACATCACAGAGTCACTGAATGGTTTGAGTCGGAAGAGACCTTAAAGCTCATCCAGTGCCACCCCCCTGCCCTGGGCAGGGACACCTCCCACCAGCCCAGGTTGCTCCAAGCCCCGTCCAACCTGGCCTTGAACACCTCCAGGGATGGGGCAGCCACAGCTTCTCGGGGCAACCTGCCCCAGGGGCTCACCGCCCTCACAGGGAAACATTTCTTCCTGATATCTCATCCAAATCTCCCGTCTTCTAGTTTAAAACCATTCCCCCTTGTCCTATGGCTCCACTCCCTGATGAGAAGTCCTTCCCCAGCTCTCCTGGAGCCCCTTTAGGGACGGGAAGGGGCTCTAAGGTCTCCCGGAGCCTTCTCTTCTCCAGGCTGAACAACAATATATCTGAACGAGATATCTGGATGGTATTGCATCTCTTACCCCAGCTCCACAAAATCACCTCCTGTTTAGTTTTCCTGGGCTGTAGGTACTGTCTACCTCAGGGTCTGGACCCTATCTCTGGATTTCAGTCCCCACCTCTGGATTTCAGTCCCCACCTCTGGATTTCAGAGAGAGGTTAAGATCTGGCCCTCAAATGCCAGTGGTGGCGAAAGGCTGTGTCTGCCCTCGGGGGTTCTGGCGCAGCCGCAGGACCTCAGCCCGGCCGTGCCCGCTGGATGTGCGCACCGGCCTGTGAGTGAACCTCATCTCAACGCGCGTGTCACTCGCTGAGGTTCCCGGTATCACGCTAAGTCTGCACAGGGTTTACAGTGGTGCCATTTTATTTAGATCCCTTTGTGCAAATTCCTCCAGTCTAGACAAGCGCTTGGAGCAGCACCAACGCGGCCGTGTTCTCCTCTGGCAGAAGGGATCCAGCTGCTTTTCCGTCCTGCCGTGGACAGGCAGGATGGACACGTGGCTCCTCAGGTAAGGTGAGGAATGACCTCCTCCCTGGTACCTCCTCTTGAACACCACATTGAACTATGCACTCCAAGGTCTAATGAAAGTCCACCTGGGAGGACTCTGCTGACTTTACAACAGCTCCCTTTCCCAAAAAGCCTGACAGCGGAGGACATCAAGTTTCGTGAGCCCAGGGCTGTGTATCTGCCAGACTGTGGGATGACTGGGAAGGGCACACAGAGCACCATGAGAAGTACAGCAGCTTCTCACGGGGACGAGATGGTCACCACCACCCCTGGGACGCGCTCATATTGCCCAGAGGGGTGGCTGCCTTCAACTATGCCATGGATTTTGCTATTTCCACATCTCAGGGATTTTATCAGCCACGGCTTTTGGCATGCGAGGGACTTGTCGTGTGCACAATTAGATTAAACGCTGACTGTCCAACGAGCGGTGCGAGGGTACACAGCAGCAGCAGCTTGGCAACAAGACGAGGCCAGGCTGGACCTTGGCAATGAGATCTCTGTGTCCTAAGCCTTGAAGAGCCCACAGAGACGTTAAGAGCAGTGTGCCAGCACAGCCGCTGTGTGCCCCTCCTCCAGACCTGCCTTCATTAGAGGCATGACTTGCGATCTTCATTAGAGGCATGACTTGCGATTAGACGGCAACACTCGTAGCCACATGCAAGCCACAGTCACCACAGGTCATGTGGTTCTCCCTAGAACACTGCCCTGACAGATGGCCGAATTCCCATTTACTCCATCCCCGTTGCTAAAGAGGATTTTGTCAACGTAGAATCAGCAATTCCAGTCTGTGCCCACACAGCCCTTCTCGGATGCTTTCTCTGGCGTCGAGGTGATCTCCAGGTGGTGCCAATTCAGTGGCAACAACTGAGTGGGAACAGAGACAGCATCCACGGTATTACCATCATCCCAAACTAAAAGCAGAACAAAACCCGTAGAAGACGGACAAACAGGCCTGAGGCGTGAAAATCTCCATCTGCATCCTGAATGGTCACGCGACACCTTGACAGCAAGGTCTTGGAGACAGAACCCAGCCGTCTGTAAACTGGTGAGCGACGCTCCTGGGTATTTAGAGAGACACGGTTAACTCTTCCTGGTGCAACTGGTAAGTATAGTTCTGACCCGGCCTGCCACACCAACCCCGGCTGTCCTATGGGCAGAGACTTCAAAGTTTGGCAACATTTGCATCTAGGGTATGGGCAGAACTCACTAGATGGAAACGAAAACTGGCTGTGAAATTCAGATCCCAGCCAGCGCTCCCATGACAAACCTCGTCTCCGAGAGGAGCTGGCCCGAGAAGTGCTTGGGCCGTTCACGCCAGCAGCTGGACGTGAAGAGCCGTTGGGCGGCAGCAGACCAAACTGTGTTTTTGCCACTTGGCCTGAGGCTCAAAAGCTCCCTTCTCTCCCCAGCTCCATCCCCACACCCCAACCCCGTCACAGACCCACAAAGGCTCAGTTCACAGACCCGCTCCCCCACCCCCAAGGCCTTTGAGCACTTCAGGGATGAGAAGCAGAGAGATAATCAGGGTCATTTATCCCACGTGCCCTCAAGGTCGTGCTAAACACAAAGGGCATTGATCCATCCCCATTTCCTTCCCGTTTTCTTCTCTTGACGCTTGCGTCACCTCCACAGCTCCAAACTGGGCAGCAGAACTGGACTGCGCGGGAGCAGCATCCATTCAACTGTGCCCTCGACACATAAAGCACAAAGGAGATGCCCAAAGTCCTCAGCTGCCCCGGACCAGAGGGCACAGCTACTTCTGACTAACAGACCCGGCTCTCATACCGGGATGCAGCACTGTTTAATAGCAGACGCCAGCTTTTTTGGCAGCTTCAGAGCCAGCAGTCGGAAGAGTGAGAGTTGCCTCCGTTCCAAGCTTCTTTACGCTATCAGCACAACTCCTTAGTTAGATATCCAGGAGGGTTTCTTGATCCAAAATGTTCCAACTTGGGAATCCGTGTCCACGCTGCAGTGACCACCAGCACAGACGCAGTCGGCTCTTCTTCGCAATAGAGCGCAGTCAATAAGAAGAGGAAACGCAAAAACCCAAACAGACCCTTTTTTTGTCACTGAAGGAAAAACAGCCAGTTTAAATGCCAGAAATACCTTCGCCGTTGCATCCCTGAAAGTCTTTTTTTGATCATGTGCTTTTCCTGCCCGTGTCAGACAGAGAAAGCCTAGAACTTCACAGCATGCAAATATGACCCCTCTGACAAGCTGCAAAAAGTAACACAAAAAACCCCCAAAGGTTCTGTGTGGAAAAACCAAGAAGACTCTCCCACAGGGTTTAGAAACCTCGCTGAATGTTTGCTTTCCATTAAATGAGAGCCTGGGCTCTTGGAGAAAACTCACCATCCACCAACACAACAGAACCAGCTGACATTTGCATGCAATTTCAGAGGCACAGCCAAGCGAATTCGAGAGATTAGGTATGGGTTTCAAATTCTTCATACCCGATTCCTAGGAAGAAGCAATGCGGCTGACTGCCTGAGCCCTACGGCTCGCTTTAGGCGTCAGGAGCTCTGGAAGGTGCATAGAGGAGACCAAGGACATCCAAGTACTCAGTGAACCCACAAATTG